GAATGTTTGTTAAGACAATATTGCTATCTTATTTAGCAGCATTCATTAGAAACAGATGCATTGAGGGATAGCAAGAATTCTCACTGAACCCCTATTTTCTGTCCTACAGCCTGCATGATGTATGGAAACCACCAAATTTTAACATATACAACTCTTCTTGCCTGAATTTTAATTGCATTTTGGTTTACAAAATGGTGCATTCTTTTTTGACTGTTTACTTTGCTTATTGAAAAAGATATGTTCTAGGATAGGTGGCCATTTAGATTTCTTTAATAATCTTCAATTATGTCATAGAAATCGTGACCTTGTTTTCTTTTATGCAAAAGTAAGTTAAATAGATTTATATTTCATGTGTTGTTTGTTCCAAAATACTGAAATACTAACGTGGAAAAGTAATGGGATGTGAAAATACATCCAGAAAATTAACTGTCATCCATCCGGGGAGAACTCTTAATATTAGTTCATTCAGGGGTGTGTGTGTGTGTGCGTCTTCCAGGGAGATGGGTCTCCTTGAAAGAAGGGCAGACACAGCGACACCACCCTGCTCCTCTGAAGACCACTATGCTTTGAGGTTGAGCCTACAGCACTTTCTTAGCCCTCACAGCCTTGCTGAACATTCCTGCCATCTGTTCTTCCCTACCACCTTCAGGTCAGGACTTGTAAGATTGTGCTTTTGAGTGTGAGGCTGTTGGCAGGTGACTGAATTCGTCCCTCCTTGCCATGCATGGCGCTTCCAGTACACTCAAGGGCTAGACGGGAAGCCAGGAGCAGTTCCCTGGTTCTTGGAGATGCTTATAAATACTGGAAAGTCTCCAGAGTGCTCCTGAGCTCATATAGACAACATCACAAGGCTCTGCTGTGGGAGGAACACTCCTTCTGCCATAAGCATTCCCGGGTCCCCAGAAAACTTAGAAAATTTTACAGTTGCTCTTGCAGAAAGATCACTCTCTGTGCCTTCCTGCACTGTACAAGCTTATCCTGGGGACCTGAGGGACTCAGATTATTTTCAGAGACTCGGGCCAGTCTAGGAAGCCATCCTGGCACCTTCATTTTTAGCTAAGGTGGTTCCAGGGCTCCTTATTGGGTGTAGAAAAATTGCTCGGATGTTCAAATGGGCAGAGACATCATCTCCCACCTTTCCAATAAATCAAGAGTGGCTCTGGGGCCACTGATTTGACTAAAATAATTTGGTGGTGGTTCAGTTGGTCCAAGGACAACCTCTCTGGGGTTCTAAGCTGGCGTAAGTGGCTGGTGGGCCCTGCAGGGGATTTAAAATTTTAACAATGACATATACATGAAAAGGACACAATTCAAGAGGCTCCCATACTATCATGGGCTGGTTCAGCTCCTGCAGGCCAATTTGGAATATTTCAGGATGCTCCTCAGGAGAAGGAATATCACGTGGTACAACAGAAAACACTTCCTTATAGACAAACTCTAATCAATATTGTGTACCAACAACCACAAAAGTAATTCATAATAAGAAAGATAATAATGAAAATAACAATGAACAACAATAGCAATCACGATGAACATAGTGAGGAAATTATAATTATTATATTAATTATAATGATAAACCTAGAGATGGGAGACCACAGGATGGGTTTCCCTGAGTGGGTGACAAGGTGCTGACATCAGTTCTCATGTGTTGGTTGGAGTTAGCATTCTAGATTTAACAGGGAAATATGTTCCACGAGGGCAAAGCCTATCAGCAGGAAGGAAAAGAAATCCAACCAGTGGATGGCACAGGGAACTCGAGAACTCGTATGCCAACCACGGAAGTAGAGACTATGGTCAAATGTAGAAGGACCCCCACAAGACACCCAACAGCTTCCAGGAGTGAGGACAGCTGGTTGAGAGGGTGCACCTACATGCAAGGCAGGCAGCTACATGCTCTGATCCACACTTGGGGCCCAGAAGCACGACTTAGTGCGAACATTTAGTTCCCAGTATTATGTCACCTGTCATACATTGGCTGCATTTCTGCCATCTGCACTTACCAGGCCCACAAGGTTCAGACGTCTAGGTTTCCCTCTCTGGGCCAGAGTTATTGTCAGACATCATCCTCGTTACTGTCTGATCTAGAGAGGGTGACACAGGATGGCTGACCCATGCTAGGGCACCCTGGGTACTTTGATTGTCAGCACATGCAGGGGTTGACTCAGCTTCAAAGAGCCACCTGTCTGAAAATAACACCCTCCCCAGAGTGGCTGACAAAAAAATGATTAATAGAGGTAGGAGTATATATACCTGGCCACTCTCCTTCAATTTCAGACAAATATGATGGGACATCCTGGTTCTATGTCAACCTGTGGGGTTGTCTAGCGCTGTAACATGGCATTGAAGCTAGATTTCCCCTCTGCATATGTTTCTTCTTCTCCATCCTTTCCAAAGATGTTCATCTCGAGATGGCTCCCTAATAAACGTCGAGCACACTAAACTTCATCTCGTTTGCACACTGGGAACTGAGACTTTGATAATAGTGAAAAGATACTGGGAAAAATAGGGCTCCCAAGCAGAAGGAACAAAATTCTGGTGAGATTGAAAATAACACAGACACCTAACACACCTCATGAGACTTTTTTTTTTATCAGAACATTACTATTGTCATCAAGAATGAGGTCCATGAATTAACGGGCCAAAAAATCAGACTGACCTGGAATGAGAAGAAATGCTGATAAACGTGTTACTGAGCGATAGACTCACTCTTTTCACTGAGATCTGAGCCAATTAATCACAACCAGTTAGGGACTGAGAAAGGAAGCTTTAATTTGATTAGCTGGCATAATCGGAAGGGGGTGACTAATGTCTCAAAAAACCCATCTTCAGGATTACAGAATCTTGAGGTACTTATATAGGGAAATTGGGCAGTAAGGAGGGGGTTTAGAAATGTCAGTCCTCAGGCATGGGGGACTCCAGGGTCTTTCCTGGTTCTTTTCTTCTGCCAGTGATGATGAATATCTTGCAGGTGTGTTTCCCGCCTGTGATCAGCCTGTTTCTGGAGAGAAACTCATAGAACAAAGTTTTAATCTATCAAGCTATAGGGGAGTACATACCTAAGTGGAGGGCATAAATCAGGAGCGTACGTGAATTATTTTAGAGCGCATTGCACAGCAGCCAGTAGTCACACAGAGTGGGGCCTGGGGTCATTTATTGTAACAGAATGGCCTCATTTATGTTCACTTACGCGTGGAGTCTACCCTCCGCCTGGATTAAAAAGGAGAGGAGAAGGCAGAAACTGGAAATAAAAGGAATTCAGGGTTTTTTTTTTCAATTCAAATTTCAGGTTGAGTGATACACAAACATCTTTAAAGGCTGAGTGGATGGATCAGAATGAGAGGGAGAAGTTTAAGATACGGTGTGTACATTTTTAATTATAATATAAAATTCAAGGTATGGCAGGGAGGAATAAGAATCAAACACACATGTAGAAATAGATGACGTAGCTGAGATTAAAGGTAATTCTTCTCCTGTTAGGAGGGAGGTGGCATACACAGTGAGCAAGCCTGCAGAAATGCTTTAAATCTAGTGGTTGAAAGTATCTACATTCAAAATTGTCCATTTCATTTGTCAGCGAGTTTACAAACCCTCAGATAAATGTGAGAGAAAAGATGCGTCTGTGGAGATTGAATTGTAATAGCCGAGGTCTGAAATACTCTTTAATGAGCATTGGGAAAGGAGTCTGCATGCATGACCTCATAGAATTGCCAGGCATTTTTACACAAATAACCAAAATGTCTGCAGATACACTTTTTGGAACGCTTACTACAGGAAAACTTACTATGTCCCCTGATTAATTATTTCCTGCTGAGAGTCAGGAATTTTAAGTCAGAAGAACATATTTTCACAGCTGTAAAAATTCCACTCAAATGTATAAATCAACTGTGAATGACGTGGAAGCACAGTCATTTACCATATTTTAGTATGGAGTAATATTTTTATTTATTTCACTGGTAACTAAGAAATAAAGTGTAAAATTATCTTACCATTTTCTTTGGATAGTTAATAAATTCTTAACATGTTATTGAAAGTTCAGTGTGGTCAGTACCCTAAAGATCAAGCTCTCCATCCTAGGACCATATCTTCTTGTTGTCAATCAAAATTTATGACATTTCAATTATGATGTTATAAATTTGTGAAATTTATATTTCAAATTTTCACATTTCTTCATCTTTCATTTTGTTTTAGTTATTATTTTAATGAGGTCACATTGACCTATAACATTGTGTAAATTTCACTTAGCACCATATCCTCAAGGTCTATACATGTTGTTGAAAATGACACAATTTTGTCTTTTTCAGGGACTGAGTAGTATGCTATTGTGTATATATACCACATCTTCTTTATCCATTCATCTGTTGATGGACACTTGGGTTGCTTCCAAGTCTTGGCTATCGTGAATACTCCCGTGATGAACACAGGGGTGCAGAGGTTATGAAGAGAAATTTTTCCAAACAAGATATACAGATGGCCAAAGGCATGTGAAAATATGTTCAACATCACTAATTATTAGGGAAACGCAAATCAAAACTGCGATGAGATTTCACCTCACACCCCTCAGAATGGCTATAATTAATAAGATAAGAAATAACAAGTGTTGGAGAGGATGTGGAGAAAAGGAAACCGTCATATGCTGCTGGTGAGAATGCAAGCTGCAGCCGCTGCCACGGAAAACAGTATGGAGATTTCTCAAAAAGTTAAAAATAGAAATACCATATGATCCAGCTATTCTACTACTGAGAATTTATCCGAAGACAGGAGATCACTTATTTTAAAAGACATATAAACCCCTATGTTCACTGCAAAATTTTTCATTTTATTTTTAAGTCCGTATTTCCTCCAAGGAATTCCAGCTTCATGTGCATAGAATCCCATTGTGTCTGATGCTCTGCTTGTTTCCAAGACACGGAATGTCTCCTGGAACATAGAATGCACTAGAATGTATCTATGATGAACAAAGGAATCAATGAATCTTGCTACTATCCCTTCACAATGCCCTTACATCTTTGTTCTCCAACTCCTTGTGATGGTTACAATTTTGTAATAGTCTGGAAAATCTAATCAAACTGAATAGGGTGTGTCCCACCAAGGGTGAAGCCCTGATTGGTGTCAATTAGGGTGTGTCCCTGGAATGTAGCCTTGATTAGGTTTATTAACTGTTCTCCCTATATATAGGGAAGTCAAACAGAGGACTGACTTACCCAGAGAAGAAGACACTGTACAGTTCACAACATTGGAAGAAGAAGAATTGGCTTCTCGTCTGTGGAACTTGCCTCAGAATCGATTTGGCTTCACCATCTCCTCCAGTTTTGGGTTCTGGTGAGTTCTCCAGACAGTGAGATGGAAGCTGGCCTCATTCTCTTAAAATTAGAGAGGTTCTCTCTTTAGAGATTTGTCATATCAAAGCAGATTCTTACATCTTTGTCTTATTGTGTCAACATTTATTTCACCACTCTCATTTCCTGTTTTGACTATCTGTGCCCTTTTTCCACTTTTGTCTTAAGTGTAATTATTTAAACTGTCTACTCTAGGATCCTAGATCTGTGCTGTCCAATAAAATAACTACCAGCCACATGTGGCTAAAAAATTTAAATGAATAAAATAGCTAAACTTCAGATGCTCAGTAGTACTAGCCAAAGTTCAAGTATTCTGTAAGCACGTGTGTCTGGCAGTGACTGTGTGGTACAATGCAGATATGGAGCACTTCCTTCATTTTGGAAAGTCCCATTGGCATGTTTATCTCCATCTTCTGTTTTTATTATTTTTTGCTCTTGTAAATCATTTTCTGTTTCTCTGAATTAGTTTCCTTTTATGGGTTTCATCAAGTTATTTTCTTTACCTTATTTCTTAAACATCTTGAGATAGGTGCTCGTATTTATTTTATTCATTTAATACTTAGTATATATTTAAGGCAGATAATTTCCTTGACTATCATTTTAGCTTTGTTCCATTTTTACTTATACATCATGTTACTGTATTCAAGTGTTATTACACTTTAAAGACTTTTGTGCCAACTGCATTTAAAAGATGCTTTTTGCCCTTAATTTTCACTTGACAGATTGTGTCTTCTATGGTCATCATTATTTTCTGGTTTTATTTCATTTTTTGTGGGGCTTTTTCATTTTCCTCTTTTTAAATATATGGGATTTTCCTCCATCCTTGTCCAAACTATTTGTATGCAGGATCCATTATGTACCTCGAAATAGACCTTCTGTTTCAGGGTATGCTGCTTTCGTACATAAAATTCCCGGATAATGGTAAACTTAATTCTAATTTCACCAATCCTGAATTGCTTTGATATATAGGAAGTTGAATATCACGAAAAGTGAGCTTTGATTTGTTATCCACTCTGAGATGCTATATTTATTTCTTCCATTTTCAGTATTAATTTGATGTGCATTTGTTTTGGTTTCTTACTTTCTTCATATTTAAAGGCATTTTCTTGTTTGATCTGTGCTATCTAGTCTGTAAATTTCTAGAATGTAAGAGGCAAGAAGGCAAAACTCTTTCAGTTATGTCACCTGCTATATCCTCAGCACCTGGAATAGCACCAAGCCAATCATTAGTGTTGAAATTTGAGAGAGTTCACTTAATAACATCCCTTTTGCGGACTGTTGTTCTGAATTGAACGAAAGGGAAAAGGTGAGTGAGTAGATATAGATATCAATGATTTTTATGGACAGATCTGTGGGAGACCTGGTTTTGGTTAGGGAAGCCAAGGTCCCACAAGCTGCACCCCAGAAGTAAGCAGGAGTGTCCAAATAGCCCTGGAATGACTAAAAAATAGCAATTCTACCACTTAATGGCTAGCAATGCCCTCAATATTAAGTCAATAGTAAAGCAGAATGCCTCCTTCCAGGCAGCTCTTTAAGAGAGCTGGAGGAAGAGCCTAAGCTGAGCCATCACTGATCCTGAAGTCACCAGTGACCTAAGTCACTATTCTCGCTTTAGTGAGAAGCTGGTCAATATTTTGCATAAATTAGTGAATAATTCAGAATCATTCAGTAGATTTTGTTAGTTCTTCTAAAGATTGCTTGCACTTCTAAGATTTTTGAAATGCATTTAATCCCCACTTCCTGAGATAGCTTCTAATCTCTCCACACTGGAGTCCATTATGAAATAGGTTTGCTTTGACTTCTCCTGTGTCCTTTTCTGTTCCTGGCACAGTCTCTATGTGACCAGTTAAATTATTGTTTCATCTATGAGTTGTCCTTACAAACAAGACTTCTCTAAATCCATCTCTAGTTGTGGTATTTGAGGAAGAGTTTCCTTGGTCATAAGATTAAGGATCACAGCTGTCTCCCTGAGGGCTTTGTAGGCGTTCCCCAATATCTCTGTTTGTTAAGACAGTCACATATTTTCCGTGAGTTTGTTTAATGATCTTCAAATAAGTCTTCAACTTTAAATATAGGCTCTACGGGAGGGTTTTTGAAATGTTTATTGTTTCATATAAATCTTTTCAAACACTAGGCTTGTCTTTCACAGCGTTCAGGTCTCTTTAATCCTTTCAACAGTTTATACACAATGTTTTTTCTTGCTCCTTTTAAAGCCTGTCGTCAACAGATGTGAGTGACTACTGAGCAGGGTGTACTTTTCCTCCTTTCATCTCCCAATATGGCCTCTTGTCTTAAGTGGTTTCATTTTACTCTTGGAAGTTTTAAGCTATGCCATGTCATTTTTCTTCCTCCTCTTGTCTTCATTTCTCTTACTGTCATTCTTTTGGCTTAAAATCTCTCACTTTCATTCTCCTAACTCTGATATGAAGTCTAATTAAGTTTTTTTAAATAATTTGTAATCAGTTCATTCCTAACAATATTGGATAAGTAAAGTGATATTCCTCTGCTCAAAGGCAAAGTGGTCCTTGAATATCACTCTTCAATTACTTTTTCACTGCTGGTATTTTATACTTAGCCTTTTTAATGGTAATTGCATTTGTTATTGTCTTTCAAGTCAGTATCATTCAAGTTGGTTCTCCTTAAACAGCATAAATTCATGGTAATATTTTGGAGATAAATACATGTCAGTATTGTGCTATAGCAGGAAATATCTGTCTCAGAATAATAGCTATTAAACACAGGATATACCGAGAGTTTGAGGAACATGGTTGGGATTTTCCATAATCCAAGAAAGATCAGCTCCTGAGAGGCTGCCATTATGCACCAGTTCTCACCCCCTCAGTGACCTCCTCTGACACCCGCTCCTGGGAAGCACGGACATAGCACAGGGATGCCTGGCTACCTTCTTTCTTTCTACTCATAGGGCTGCCGTGTTGTACATGCATAGGGGTTCCCTGGATGCCAAATAAGAATTTACATATTCCAATCTTTCTGTAGAAGAAAAATTCTAAGAGTCAAAATTAATGTTCCATTTCATTCTGAATTTGTCTTAAAATCAAAGAAAACACAATCCCATGGTCAATTCTTGATTACTTTTCCTAAATCTTCCTTCTTTCTTGGATACTCACGTGTGCTCTGGATAATTCAATCACTAGCCAGCATTCCTTGAGTCTCTCTTGGGCACCTTGAGTTCTCCTGCATAATGAATACATTCTGTGGTTATCAGACCCTTGCATTAATCCAGGGCTTCTCTTTTATGTCTGAGTGAAACTGAGAACCGCACTTTCAGTTTGATTGTGAAGGACAGCAGGAACTTAAGAGAAAGTGTCCTCAGAGGAGATCTCTGTTTCAAGAAAGAAGAGACACAATGAGGGGTTTGGCTGTGACTAGATGGAGAGGTTTCTCTTAAAAGAGATTTAATTTAAACCAATAATGTAGGTCCCAACAAAAAGGGAGAGAGGGATTCAACAGTAGACATTGCCAGGGGTGGCATGACTTTGAATTTGACGGGAGAAAAGGGGTAACCAATGGGTATGAATGCAGGAATATTGGCAGATATTATAGGGATAAACTGAGTTACTTTGTCATATTCTGTAATTCCTCTGTGTCATGGGCTGAGCTGTGTGTCCCCCAAATTCCTATGTTGCAGTCTTCACCCCCAGTACACCAGAACGTAACTTTATTTGGACTTAGGTTCTTTAAAGGGGTAAGTAATTTAAAAAGAGGTAATTAAGGGAGGGCCCTAAGCTAATATGACTGGTGCTGTCACTCAAAGAGGAAATTAGGGCACAGACACATGGAGAAGGTAGGGAGAAGAAAGCCATCTACAAGCCCAGGAGAGAGGCCTCAGAAGGAACCAAACCTGCATATATCTGAATCTCAGGCTTGTCGCCTCCAGAATGATGAAAAAAGAACTTTCTGTTGTTTAAGCTGCCCAGTCACTGGTAGTGGAAGAATTATTATTATTTTTAGCAACGCATGGTATAATTGCCAGATATCTTTGAAAGCCACTTGGGGTGGTGATTATTTGTTTAGATTGGGACCAATGTCTTAGTTGCGTGCTGTCTGGTTAGTCATGCAAGAGGCATCTGCTATGGGGTCTTGAGATGATGTGATAAACAGTCTAAGGGATAAAGAAACGGTTGGTTTTGGTAAATGTGTGTTGGAATGAGTAATTGTGCATTAAACTGGGAAATAAATATGAAGAGAGATTATGATGTTTGGGATGTGGTGCCAATATGCTGGAGGTTCCCACATGGCAGAGAACCTGGCTAGAAGGAGTACTTTTGTGAACATGCAGCAATGCAAAGAATATGACACAGCCTGCTTCTGATTATTTTTGTTAGAGGTACTATTCCAGGTAACACCTAGGTGTGCTGTTTTATCCTAAAGGAATTTGACCTCAGGCGATAGACTGAGCCAAATTAAACGACAGCTGTTCCATTTTCTAGCTCTGTGACTTTCTCATATTACTAAAATTTTTGGAAGCTCTGCTGTATTATTTGTTAAATTGGGAAATAAAGTATAATTACTATCATTATTGTGGGGATTAAATGAGCAAATATGTGTAAATCAGCTAGTACATAGTTAACTTAATACAAACGATTTTTTTTTTCTGGTTCTCAGGTACAAATGAGTGAGTTAATTATCCCTCTGTTTATGGTGCATATTCATGACTTGTCCATGGAATACATTTAAATATTATTGTTATGTTAGTGGAGAAATTATAGTTTATGAATACTTTTTCTCTCTCACACAGGCATTTGTATGGGTATGTATATATATATATATATATATTTGCACGTACGTATATGCATACCTATCTGTGTATATAATTAGAAGAAGGGATGCTTCAGCTAATGAAGACTAATATAGAACAAGATTTGGAGGATTTCAGCTACTACTTGAGTAAACTATCAGATTAAGGATCTAGATTTTCTTGTAAACTCCAGCCATTCCATATTAGCTGGGCATCCTTGACCCAGAGGATTGAGACCTAGGTGAGAGCAATGTTATGACTCATGTACTCCTGCTAATCTCTCATGCAGGGGATTTTATGACTGGACAGGCAGGGCGGGTGCCATTGACCCCTCCAAGTGGAATACGTCCTTGTATTGATTAACTCCATCTTAAAACAGATTCTTAGTTGCTTGATAGCCAAGCCCATGGGGGACAGATCTAAAAGTCAGGGTTGAGGCAGAGCAGGAAGAGAGTGAGGGTCCAGAGGGCTGCCATGGATTCTGGAGGACCATTGTTGGTGCGTAAGGTAAAAATAATGAAACCTGAGAAATTCCACTGTGTTTAGCTTCAGTCGGAAACCAAAATCTATGTGGGATGAGTTAGGGATAGCTGTGCTTTAGAATCAGGGATGGAATTGAATAATTCTGGATGCCATTGGCTAATTAACATGGAAAATTCAGTGCTTACCATGTTCTTATTTTTAAGATATCTGTATTTTGATCTTACTACATTTGACCCTGAGAGAGGAGAGACCTCTGTGTGTTAGTGTTAGAGTGAACCATTTGTTTCCCTTTGTGGGGCTGGGGGTCACACTCACTTGAAGGTTTGGGGTTTCACAACAGGTGGGACTGTATATTGGGCACAGGACTGGAGTCTTATGTCTTCTTTCTCCATCCTCAGATTTGCCTCCTTAGCGCTTGGACTGTGTGAGTGAAAATCAAGAGAAAGACACCTGGTAACTGAGTTATTGACAATGCAGCCACTGGTGAGTAAAGAATGCCTCTTTCTACAGAAATTACACCCCTGGTGCCATTAGATGAGCAAATGTTTCCTATTGGCATGAATGTTCTAAGTGAAACAAGGTGGCATTCAGGCATCTGAGCTCCAGTTAAGTTTGTCTAGGACCTGGATAGTTATCCTGGGTCAGGAACTCATCAATAACTAAGCTCTTTCCTAACATTACACATATTTACAATTGCCTCCATTAAGCTTGTGTATTTATACACGAGATAAGAGGAATTCTCTTTCTCTCACCCAGCCATTGGCCTCGTGGACAAGTAATTAACTCATTAACCATGGTTTTGGATGTAATGGGCTTGGGATGGTGATGATTGCAAGTGATGGAGTTGAATGGGAAGCAGAACATTATAGTCATTCAGGAGGAAGAAGTTTCTGCACTTTGAGTATAATCAAACCAGTGTTAGAAGACCTGGTATGAGGGTAGTACAGTGTTGAGAAGAGCAGGAGAGAGGTTTGGAAGGAATGAGGAATTATGTTATTTTATTCTTAATTTTAAACCTCTTGCAACTACTAGAATATAGTTACGCTTATGAAAATGTCTAAAAACTGGAATTAAAATTATCATTATCATTCTTGTCCCCAGTCACACATTTTACCTCTAAGTAGTTAACCTTTTGTTTTTTGAGGAAGATCAACCCTGAGCTAACTAGTGCCAATCTTTCTCTTTTCGCTGAGGAAGACTGGCCCTGAGCTAACATCCGTGCCCGTCTTCCTCTACTTTTTTTTATATGTGGGGAGCCTACCACAGCATGGCGTGCCAAGCAGTGCCATGTCCGCACCCGGGATCCTGAACCAGGGAACCCCAGGCCACCGAGAAGCGGAATGTGTGAACTTAACTGCTGTGCCACAGGGCCAGCCCAGTAGTTAACCTCTTATTCATATTTGATAACTGGAAGGAATGTGTAGGGAGTAGTATTTTATTAATTGTGCTACACATAAAGGAGAAAAACTGGATAGATCCAGAGAGAATGAGGCTTCTTTTATCCTCGAGCATGGAGGCGAGATAAAGGTACAAGAGAAACAGTGGTAACTGGTGTTTGAGGTCCTTGAGAAATCTGAGAATGGGTGCCCCCTTTGGACAGGAGTGGTCAGGCTAGGACTCTCCTTCAGTACAGCCATCTCAGAGGTCTCTGGCTTTTGCTGGAGAACCATCTGACCTCATAGTTTGTTATGAACACCTGCGTCCTGTAGCAAGAGAGACAACATGCACGTCAGTTCTGAGGAAGGCTGGAGATTCCATGAAGGTTCTCCAATATTTTTACGATAAACAGAGTCCTATGTTTTATTTAATGCAGGTTTGTCCTACAGAAAACACCATACGTTAACACATTGCAACTTTCAACATGTATAACAAGTTATTAAACCAGTTCATGGATGAGGAACCAGAAGTTCATCTAGGGACATAATTTAAACCAATGGCTGTGGTTTAAAAACAGCACATTATGGTTATCATTTGTCTTGTGGTGAAGCTGTAGAGTTGCTTGAAATTAATGGGGAAGAGAGTTTTAGTTATGAATTTTCAAGTGAATATTTTATTTTATTTTATTTTTTTTCTGCTTTATTTCCCAACCCCCCCGGTACATAGTTGTATATCTTAGTTGCAGGTCCTTCTAGTTGTGGGATTCAAGTGAATATTTTATAATCACTTGTCTGGAAGCTGTAATTACCAGATTATTGAAACACTTCGAGGTTGTATTAAACTACACTTCATGTGATATTTCTTTAAAATCATGTATTATGAAGTCACAGTGTGAAGGTCTCTGTGAATATATCTGAAAGGCAGATACGAACTCAGCAATGACAGTAAACTGAGTGGGCCTCAAAAGACAGATTGATCTTTCTATATACCCAGCTCCCCAACACTTCCTCTGTGCTGTCATCTCAACCCACCTACCCTGGGCATTGGTAGGGATTGCTCTGTCTAAACCAGTATATCCATGTTTTAGGAATCAGTGACATTTGAAGATGTAGCTATAGACTTCACCCAGGAAGAGTGGCTCTTGCTGGACACATCCCAGAGAAAGCTGTACAGAGATGTGATGCTGGAGAGTATCGATCATCTGGTCTCCATTGGTGAGTCTGTCAACATGCGTGTGTCTGTGTGTCCATTCATTCACTCACTGAACAAGTATCTAGAAGAGCTCCTCCACACCCCACTCCAATCACTGCCCTGATTCTTTGACAACCTTCATAACTACTTAAAAGAAAGATGTTTCTTTACACTTTACTTTTCATCATCACACTAGAGTATAATCTTGACCTCAATATTATGTTTTTCTTTCTACTTAGTCTCCAGCACTCAGAACAGAACTAGGAAGTCAATGGATATTTTTAATGCATAAGTAATTTATTAAATTTTTTAAAAATAATTATTCTGTTCTGGTCAATACATGGATGCTTGAGACCAGAGTAGTGAATATAACATAATTCTGGTTATGCCTGTGGAGCTTATGTTTATAGGATGATGTTTAAAAATAATATTCTACCCACTGTCAAGACATTTAATCTCTTCCATTTTGGAAAGACAGGATTCTGCATTCTTTCTTTGATCCTGCTATCAGCATCTAGAGGTCCCCACTGTTTTTGTCACCAGTCTGGTTTTCTTCCTGGTCTGGTGAAGGCCCTTCAATGTTTTCTCTGTTGAAGATATTGTTACACAGGCTGACCTTTGATCACCTCTTTATTCTTCCACAGCAGCTTGTGCTGGTCTTGATAGAAGTAATAATTAATTATCACAGAATTCAAAGTCCACAGTTTTTTTCCTCAAACAGGGTATCAGATCTTCAAATCCGATGTGATTTTCCAGTTGGAGCAAGGAAAAGAGCTATGGAGTGAAGGAGATGGATTTCTCCAAGGCCAGAGTCCAGGTTAGCATCAGGGACCTGTGCTTCAGTGCCAAGGGGTCCTGGTCAGTGAGTGAGTATGTTCTTGGAAATGCCTTCTGAATATTTTGTGAAGTGCGTGGTATATACTAAAAAGTAAATGAGGACATTGGTCCTCATTTTGTCATAATTCCTTGCTTATTTAAATCATAATTGGTGTCTTCCTACCATTTTCTTTTCCTTTAGGGAAAAAGATATTTATGTACTTATTGCAGTTAAACATTTTCATAGAAATTCTAGTCCTGATTTATCCATTTGGAGATTTTCCCACTATTTCCTGACCCAACATCTCTTAGTCAATTTTCATTTTTCATATTTCAATCTTGATTTTTTCTAATTGACTATGACATTAACATGTTTCTACTACCTAGAGTAATTCATTGGCACCTTTCCCAATCTAAGTGCCATTTTTGAAACATTCAAATGGACCTTGGTGTTTTTCTGAGTTTTGATTCCCCTAATGCCATTCTAACAAATTATGTTTTCTTCAGTTACTTTAGGCAGCAAAAGTCCTCTTAGAAAACAAGAAATTATATCAGTGAAATATAAAAGCAAGAAGAAAATAACTCCCACGATGCCAATGGTAAGTTTCATGAGTGTGAACCCAAGTCATTCAAATTAAAGACCTTGCAATGAGATGAGTTAGTTATTGAGCACATTCCCCTGAATGTAATTAAGTTGGGATTAAGTACTTTCTAGGCAAAAAGTTTTGGATAGTTTAAAATCAAATCAGTTAAGAAATGAACATGAGCTCAAAACAATTAACTGAGATCTTAAAAAGAAAAATAAAGCTCATTACCTAGCTTTTAAAACATACTGAAGTCTTCAAAATTAGTCTGATAACTCTGCAGTTGGGATACTACAAAAGAGACAATATTTATGCCTCCAGTAGAATAATACAACATGTGTGTGCAACTAATATTGGAAATATTTGTAATAGGAGAATATTACTGACATATTCTCAGCTTTACATGTAGAGGAATGAATGTATGGATTTATGTGGGCAAACTATTGACAGTCTTTCATCTCCTTCCCCAATGCAGATGTCTCACACTTATGTGGATCCTATTGAATGTCTTGATATGGTTGATGAATTTGCTCATAGATCTGTGTCCACTCAACAATTGTCAATTCCCATGGGAAGGAAACGTGATGTCAGCAAACAGTGTGGAAAATCACTTCGTAAAGACTCACCCCATAATCAACATGATCAAATTAATGCTAGGGGTAGATCTTGTGAATGTCATCTATGTGGGAAAGCCTTTAGTAATTGTTTTAGCCTTAGACGACACAAGATGATTCACACTGGAGAGAAACCACATAAATGTCAACTATGTGGGTATGGCTTTGTGCAAAGCTCTGACCTTAGAAACCACAGTCGAACCCACACTGGAGAAAAACCATATAAATGTCATCTGTGTGGGAAAGTCTTCAGTCAAAATTCTTACCTAACACAACATGAGAAAACTCACACAGGGGAGAAGCCATATGAATGCCATGTATGTGAGAAAGCTTTCTCCCAGCGTTCTTACCTTAGAAAACATGAGAGAATTCATCCTGGAGATAAACGTTATGAATGTGTTCAGTGTGGGAAAGCCTTTAGTCAAAGATCTGGCCTGAGCCAACACAAGAGAATCCACACAGGAGAGAAACCATATATATGTATTCTATGTGGGAAGGACTTCTGTCAAAGTTCTGAACTTACACGGCATAACAGAACACACACAGGAGAGAAACCATATGAATGTCATCAGTGTGGCAATGCCTTCAGTCAATATTCTAATCTTAGACGACATGAGAGAACCCACACTGGAGAGCAGCCATATGAATGCCAGCTATGCGGGAAATTCTTCAGTCATCGTTCTTCCCTTAGACGACATGAGGAGACCCAGCACTGAAGAGAAAATAGTGAATGCTTTCAGTAAATATGACATGGTATTATAAATGTAATGGAGGTGGAAGAAACATTGATCACAGCTTTAACATTTAAATACACCAAAGGACTAACACAGTAAAGAAATACTCTCTGTAAACAATATTGAAATCCTTCATTCTTTCTACTCCTTACACAAGATACTCATTTTCAGATGGAAATAGATCCATATGTATGACATTAACATGATAAAGCCTTTAGTCATTGGCATGACCTTAGATAACATGGCAGAACTCACACTCAGTAGAATGAGGTACATGTTCTCAGCAACAGCTCTAAACTTTAAAGTCACTAGTAAACTTGCACAGAGAAAAACTCCTAATCTTTTTTAAGAATGTAACTAAGTTAAGTTTGTTGTTAATGATTATTGTTAAATGTGAGCAAACTCCACATGGGAGAACTCCTAGGTCTGTAACCAGTGTGAGCAAACATTCAACAAACAAGCAGGCTTGGTGTGCACAAGAAAACTCAGTGATGGAATAAACACTAAAACAGGAAATAAGAAGATGAAGGTTCTTGAGGAATCCCAAATAATTCTTACAAGTAATTCTGAGTGGAGAAATCATTCATTGTCAAATCATAGGAAATCCTTTATTCACAGATCAGTACTTGTGGTGTAGTGTGCATTCAGACTGTGCCAAACCTACTCTGTGTCACGAATGAAGGGGAGTCTTTAGTGATCACTTATTTCTTAGTCAACTTTAGGATCCTCACACTGAGGAGACAGCAATCCTAAAATCAAAGTGGAGAAAACTTCAGCTAGATTTGATATCACACATAGGTTTGTGTGTGTGTAGGGGTGGGACGGGTGGGTGAGTCGTGGGGAAACCTCTAATAGAATCCTTTATCACAATTCAGCCAATAATTTAGACATTGAGACAATACCTATTTTTGAAAATGTGGCATAAAATGGAAAGTGACATGATCTGGAAATACTGAATGAAGAAGCTTGTAAGTTATCAAAATTTCTAAAGAGTTCATTACTTGCAAATAAACAATAAAACTTGTTGCTAAAGAAGCTAATTGTCTATTTTCTAATTTCCTTTGTGGAGTTCTAAATACACAGATTCAGGTCTGCCTGCCTTGGCAAGTGGACCCCTCTCTGGGTCTGTCTTTTTTCCAACAGCTCTTTCCTCACACCTTAGCTCCTTTGTTCCATCTTCCCTTCAACACCATCTGTGTCTCTTCAAGCCCTGGTGGTGACCCATCTGTGAACTTCTGTCCCACTTGCCTGATTTCTCAGCATACCATGACCCTGCTCAGGCAGGTCGGGGGGAAGTAGCAAAGACAGGTAGTTTAAAATCTTTGATGGACCTACAACCTCTGTCTCTGATGCTGGGGGCAGCCTGGGGCCAGAGAGACAGGCAGCTCTGCCCTCCCAGTCTGCAGAAAGCTCCTGGATTTTATCTCAGAACTCCTGAATTGAGCTAAGTGGGGGCAAGAATTAACTCCATGACCACACTCTATGTCTTATTTAGGTGATTCCTGATTTATTCTACTACCAGTCACCCCAGATAGAACCATTGCTGTGTTCACCCCACATAGCAGCCCAGAAAATAAACCTCCAGTAAGATCAGAGCCCTCAAAATGCCAGCCACCACATAAGACCTCTTGTTTAAAAATTAATGCAAAATACTCTTCCCCAAGCAGAACGAATGTTTTCACCAAAAGGATCTCCCACTCTGTCCAAAGGCCTTGGAAATGTTAGTCTTTCACCAAACACCAATACTGAATGAAAACATCAAGGGGAAATGCTCCCAAGATATGCACTGAGATGACTTGTGCTCTTGCCAAACTAGCACAATTCAAAACCACAGGCTTAACTGAGTGCAACTAAATGAAAATGTCTCTGATTCAAACTGGTACATTGCTAGTTTTAAAAATCTCCACAAGTGGGGCTGGCCTTGTGGCCGAGTGGTTAAGTTCATGTGCTCCACTTTGGCAGCCCAGGGTTTCACCGGTTTTGGTCCTGGATGCGGACATGGCATGCTTGTCAGGCCATGTTGAGGAAGTGCCCCACATGCCACAACTAGAAGGACCCACAACTAAAATATATACAACTATGAGCGGGGGGGATTTGGGGAGAAAAAAAATGCCCAACAAGTGACTCTACTGTATTTTCAGGGTGAAAACTGTCAAGTCATGGGTTAAGAGGGTAAGTAACCACTTGTATTGTCTGCCTAAGACAATACATGTTCTACTCCTTGCTGACTTTAGGCGCGATTCTGGGTAGCCACCTTATTTGAGACCTATCTGGTGGCTTATCCAGGAATCACCATGTCTGCCCTCATGTGTCTCCAGGAGGAAAGAGTCAGGTCCTGGTGCCTGCTGGAGGTGAAGCCTGTGCTAGAGCTGTGACCCCCCCCCCCCCCCCCCCAGGAATCCATACACTCCTTTCTCAGAGGAGCTCACCTCCCAGTGGGATTTATCTTCATTGACACATGTTTGCATGTTGGGCAGTTGTAGTGAGACCAAGGGATTTCAGCACTGCTCACCTACAATTATGACCATAGGGTCACAGAATCACACAGGATTTATTTCGGTGGCACATTGGCAACTTGACAGAGTCGGGAAGTCCCTCACTGGATGACATCTTCCAGTGGTAACAGTGTGGAGCTGCCGCCCAGAAAGCTAGGATGGCAAAGAAACTTCCAAGAGGAGAGGGGTTGGAGAGGAGACCACTTGTCAAGATAACGTCTCCACAGCAATAAGAGGAGTCTCTGAGTCAGAGGACTACTGGTGGACAGCAGGGGTTCAGAGATGTTTGTAGTTCACGGTTTATCTTCTCTACGGCTAGTGGGTGTTGGGTGACGTATCACCAGGTGTGCACAGTAGGAAGCCTATAAATTGCTTCACACACACTCACTTGGGCTGTGTTTAAAACAACTCAGTGAGTACGAATTTGAATTCGGCACCAGTGGACCTGTGAGCTAAGGGCCCTGTCTGCTGTGGAGAAATAAGCAGCATTGGCTCAATATACAGGGACTCTCTTTGGCTCATCTATAAACCATGGACTGATCATCACAAATGATTTATGCACATGTTCACTGATTATTTTTTCTCCTGATCAAATCGGAGGTCGGAATCCTCTCTTAGATTTTTTCATTTCAGCTATTCTACTTCTCAGCTCCAGAATTTCTATTTCACTCCATTTTTTATAATTTCTCTCTCTTTATTGAAACTCTTGATTTGGTGAAACACCATTCTCCCAGTTTCCTTTAGTTTTTTGAGCATCCTTGAGACACTTGTTTTCAGGCCTTTTATGTACTAAGTGCAATGTCTGTGCTTCCTCAGAAACAGTATCCTCAGCCTCTTTTTTACCCCCCGTCAGAATTGACTGTACTTTATTTCTTCATGTAACTCATGTTTTGGTTGTTGAGTACTGGACATTTTGCACATTTTAATGTGATAACACCATAGATTAGAATATTTTTCGTTTCCAGGGTTTTTGTGGGTTTCATGTGTTTGTTTACAAATTTTCTGAACTTTTTTTGTACAGGATTTCTGTGATGAGTGCCCCAAAGTCTCTGTTCTATTAACTCAGTACTTAGCCTGTGACTTGAGAGACATCTCTTTAAACGACTGGAGTAAAAAAAAAAAACACAAATTACTCTGCCAGTATATGGAGACTGTCTCTGTGTCAGTGCTCTTCTTCAGGGCTTAGCCAGGAAATTTACAACTGTCTTCTCCTTCACCTGCTGCTTGTACCCATCTGAAGGTGAACTCACATGGTCTTCTGAGGTGTTTTCTGAGCATGTGTCCAGCCTTGGGCATTAGCATGGCCTTCTAGAGTCCACAGCACACAGGGAAGCTCTTCAGTGCCATTCTTTCCCCAATTAACTCCCTCCTCATCATCTTCCTTCCCAGGGCTTTTAGTCTGTCTGCCTCTGGCCACACTTGTTGATCCCTTGTGCCAGGTGGTTGGATCTTGTCTATTTCATAGAAATGTTCTTGCCGATACCACCCAGGAGCTCCTATCAGCCGTGAGAATGTTCTGAGGCCATGAAACAAAGGAAAGCCCCTGACTCCGTCCCTATTGGAGCCACCAGACGTCGGAACCGATAACCACAATTCCCTGAGAACAGTGTTTGTATTGCATCAGCACCAGCACACTGCACCGGGGATGGAAGGCTCTGTCCTCATGGCTGCCACAGCGCTGGGAAGTGGGGCACCGTAGGTGGGCAAGTTAAAGCATCACAAGGTTGTTTTCCTGAAACACAGCACCTTCTTTCTGCATTAAGAGTGTCCCCAAGTTTTGTAAGTTTTTATTAGTCTCCAGAGTTCTGAAAAAGATGATTCTGATAGTTTCTGACAGATTAATCATTACTGTGGTTGAAGGATGGTGTTTTGGAGTTCTCATACCCACATTTTTGATGACATTATTCCATCTATTTGGATTGTGCATATCTCCTTTTCAAAGCTGATATTAGTATGCCTCAAATATCTTAATTTTTATATATGTTTCCTAAAGTAATGGATACTATTATCTAAGGATTCATACATTTTAAGTATCTTTATTTTTCTCTTTTGTTTACTTTCAGATTTGGAAAATATATAAAATGTCTTGTTAAATTTCTACATTCATCTACATACTATCAAAGCTACTTGCTCTTATCTGTAATAACCAATGGGTAGGCATTCTAACAGCATGTGGCTTTATGTAATATCAGGATGTCCCATTGGAGAGCTTCATTACATTATTCCACATTGTTCAAACTATCATACCACAGTGGGTTAGCTGCAAAAACATTTGCAGTCTCTTTGTATGAAGATGCACTTGGATTATGTACCATGTATTTTGTCAGATCCTTTATTTAAACTCTCTGGTAATTCTCAAAATGATCTCATAAAACCAATATTATTCCCATTTCATAGATAATGAAGTTTATGCTCTGAGGAATTTCCAAAGAAAGTTGATACGGGAGTTGAGAGCAGCAGAATTCAAAGCAAAGAATGCAGACCATCTAGTATGTTTAAGGGACTGACAGATTATTTTCACTGAAGTGTAATAAACTCAGGCAGAAAATCCATTTCCACCTATGTAAAAACGGTGAATCTTCAGAGACGTTCTACAGAACTTTCCTGTCTTATCTCTGACTTTCAGAATTGTGCAGGTCAATTATGATCATCCTGCTCTAGAAGTAAGGTAACAGTGGCTCAGAGAGGAATTTGATAATCTACCCAGGGCTGTGCAGCTTGTAAGAGGCACAGCTGGCTGTGTGTGCCTGCGAGACGCTGCTCGTGCCCTCTGCTTCCCTCCCTGACAGAGGGCTCTTCTATGCCTGCAGTGCTGATCTCAAACACAAAGATCTCTCTCATGGACACGCATGTTTCTGGAGTCTTATGGTGGAACTTGGAAATGACTTTCCAACAGGAAAAAGGTTACATACAGGAGTTTCTTGGGAAGAACTAACTCATGTGGGGAAAGGTTATTCAATTAGTAGTAGATTGTATGTTTATAGGAATTTGTCTATTTTATCTGGGTTATCCAATTTGTTAGCATACAAATATACATATTATTCTTATAACAATTTTTTTACTTCTGTGACTTCACCAGTAGCATCCCCTCTTTCATTTCTAATTTTAATAATTGAGAATTTTTTCTGTTTTTTAACAAGCAATCTATCTAAAAGTTTTCTATTTTGTTTTTCTTTCTAAAGAACAAACATTTTTCGAAAGTTTTCTATATTGTTTTTCTATACTGGAGTTTATTTTTCTCCACTCTAATCTATATTATTCTTCCTTCTTCTAACTTTACATTCAGGTTGCTCTTTTTCTATTTCATAAGGTGTAGAGTTAAGTTATTGGATTATAGATTTAGATCTTTCTTCATTTACAATGTGTTTACATATACGAATTCCCCTCTCAGCGCTGTTTTCATGGCATCCCACAATTTTCGGAACATTGTGTTTTTGTTTTCATTTGTCTCAAGGTGTGTTCTCTTATCTCTTCTGATTTCCTCTTTGATTCATTGTTTCCTTAGGAATATATTGTTTTACTTGCACATATT